AAAGAGAAGGAAAGAGAAGAGAAGAGAAGAGAAGAGAAGAGAAGAGAAGAGAAGAGAAGGTTTCAGTTGGATGGGACCCACAGCAATCATCTAGTCCAACTGTCAATGGATGGATGGGTGCTTTGCTGTAAACTGAAATAAATAATAATAATAATAGAGATAAAATAATAGATAAATAAGAAGAAAGAATAGTAAGTAATAAAAAATAAATACTCTCCTTTCCCAGCCAACATTTGCATGCCAAAGAGTGTGCAACCCAAATGGAGTTGGCAACCCAAAGGGCACGCGCATGCAAAACAGGTCCAAAAGCCGACCGTAGCCAAAGTGACAGTAACTGCCGCGTCCCAGCCGAGGGAGAGACACGTTTTTGGCAGAAAAAACCATTTCTGTCTGCAGAAATGTGGGATCGCACATCCCGTGTGTCCCGGAAAGTGGGGAGCACACCCAAGCGGTTAGACACCGCTCTGAGCCCAGCACATCATCGCTGGAATATTTAATTTACGGCGAGTTAATCCGGAAAGGCGTCGCGGCACCCATCGGGATTTTCTGCAGAGGGCAGCACGAGCCAGGAGATCGGGTGCGTTTTTCCCTCCTGGTGCCGCTGAAAGATGGTGAAAATTCATCAAATCTAGATTTCTCCTCAAAATGCTCGATGGAATATTCCCTTGTTGGTGAGGTCTCCTCGCTGGCAAAATGCTTTGGGAAAAGGTCTTGATGAAATGGAGATTGGTAGAAAATGGCATTTTTGACAGTAAAATTTTGGAACTTTTTTCCTCTTATTTCCATGCTGGGACTTGGGATTTGGGGAGCAACTGGAATCCCATGGAATTTCTCCCCGTCCAGGCTGCAGGCTCTGAGTTCCTGCTTTGGAGGATGGATCCATGCTCTGGAGCATCCAGACGCTAAAAAACAAGTGGGGTTCTTTTCAGTGCAAATATCAAAATAACCCACATCATCATTAAAAAAGAGCCGTTCCTACTCCCACAGGGTTCCAGCTGCACCATCTCCAGAGAAAGAAAGGTCTCGTGCAAATTAAGGGCTCGTTTCCACCAGGTCAAGAGCAATAAGCCTCGGGCTTGGCTACGTGAGGAGGATGCTCCGATGTGAACATCTTCAGGATTTTAGGTGATTTGCACCGCGGTAGCTGGAGATTTGCCTCCTCTGACGGCGTGAATTGATTCTCCATCAGCTAAAGCCGTGCGAGCGGGAGCCCGATGTGAATATAAATAAAGGCAGACATGTCGCCTGTCGATTAAATCAGTTTAAATTTGAATTTTCACTCCCACCTGAGTTATTTAGCTGCAGATGAGAGGGATGGGGGCAGCAGGGAGGAAGCCGAGGTGCCGGGCAGGAGGTGGCCTTTCCCAGGGCAGATCTGTAATGCATCTCAGGAGGTTCCTCCCAGGTCTTACAGGAAATTAAACATATTTTATTCTGGTATTTGCTTCTCAAGGAGCGCGCCGAGTGGTCACTGGGGGTACAAGCACGACCCACCTTATTCTCCAGCCCCTCCACCTGCCCAAGAGCTATTGAATTAACTTCAGCAATCAAGAAAGCAATTAAACGAGATAGTTCAAGGGTACAGAAATCCTCGCCAAAATATTGCACTTAAGACACCCAAGGTGCAGAAAGCCGGGGCACCGGCTCTCCCTGCTCTTTTCCCGGGGGCTTTGCACCCCGCGGGGGTCCTGGGGGTGGTGCGATGGTTAGGGTGCAGCCCGGGGGATGAGAAGCGGGCTTAGGACCTCGGTGGGGACTGGTCCCCGTGCCGGTCAGCCCTGGGCTCCGCTAGGAAATAAAATGGGATGGAGGGGGTCACGCAGCGGCTGGCACTGGCTCTGAGCTGGTGGTCCCTTTGCAAGCATCTCGGGTGCAGAACAGGCTGCGTTGGCCCAGATTTTGCCACTTTTCCCGTGCAAAATTCACTCTGCACCTCCCAGGGGTCCTGCAGCCTCATTGCGCACTAAAGCATCCTCCAAAATCCGCATCACCTGGCCGAGAGGTTTCATTGGGCAACAAATACCCTCCCAGGAGCATCTTTTGAGGATGCTCCAGTTCGGAGAAGAGACCAGAGGAGTCCCATGGAGAAGAAACCAGAGGAGTCCCACCACTGGCTTCGCATCCTGGGTGCCCTGAGACGCTGAGCACCCAGGGGCTGGGACAAAACAGCTGCTGCTGAAATTTCGGCGAGCCGAACCCAAGCCAGTGTCTTCCCAAAGCGGGAGCAATGGTGACATTCGACGAACCTGGCCCGTCGCCTCTTGTAATTAAACCCTCGGTCTCCAGCAGTCATTTGTCGCCCTATTTTAAGCCGGCTGGAGCTGCTGTGCCATTCTGACGTTCTTGCTTCAAAATTTAATGACTTTCAAAATTTTCCAGAAGGCTGAGAAACGCAGCTCCATGGCCTGCCTTTGTCTCTTCCTCTTTATTTTGTTGTGATGTTTCCAGGCTTTTGTGTATTTTACAAGCAGCTTGACCAAATGATGGTCAGCCAAAACCATCCCCTTGGGAATTGCGTTTGGAGGAGCGATAAGCAGAGGTTTTAGCCCACCGGAACAGCTTGGGAAAGCAATGCCACGTGCAAAGTTGAGTTTATACCATTTTTATGCCTAATTATGCTGCCTGAAGTTTAAGGGTTTCTTGCAAGTGAGCCAGCGCTGTTGTGACGGATTTTGATGCAGGTGGCTGCAGGGCTCGGACAGGGTGACACCGCAGCACCTTTTCCCTGTTGAGTCCCCCCCAGTTTCCCATCTCTGAGGGTTCCCAGAAGCTTTCTGGCTCGCTCGGGCTCTCGGCGTTGCCCCAGCATGGGCTGCTGCTCCCTGCGGTGCTGGTGTTTCCTTCACCGCTGCTTCTCAGGGACATGGTTTAACGCTGGACTTGGCAGTTGGACTCAATGATCTTAAAGGTCTTTTCCAACCTGAATGATTCTACAGTTCTATGGCTCTAGAAACAACGTCAGGAGCAAAGACTACTGAAGCTGAAGGAATAAAAACCTTTGCCTACCTTTCTGTCCCGGTTGTATAGGATGGCACAGCCCTGGCCCACCAGGAAAAGCAGGGGAAAATCTAATTGATAATTTTTGAAACAAGGAGGGGGATACTCCCACTTTTGAGAAGCCTTTTGAAGCTAGGACATTCGGTACTGTCGGTATCGTCGTTGGGGCATGAAGTGCCAGAGGGCAGTGGAGCAGCCCGGCTGGGGACCCCCACGCAGGTTTAGCCTCCAGCGCAGGTTTAGCCTTTGGTGCAGGTTTAGCCCTTGGTGCAGACTTAGCCTTTGGTGCAGGTTTAGCCCTTGGCGCAGACTTAGCCTTTGGCGCAGGTTTAGCCTCTGGTGCAGGTTTAGCCCTTGGCACAGATTTAGCCTCCGGCACAGGTTTAGCCTCTGGTGCAGGTTTAGCCCTTGGCGCAGATTTAGCCTCCGGCGCAGGTTTAGCCTTTGGCGCAGGTTTAGCCCTTGGCGCAGATTTAGCCCTTGACACAGATTTAGCCTCCAGCGCAGGTTTAGCTCTTGGCGCAGATTTAGCCTCCAGTGCAGGTTTAGCCTTTGGCGCAGGTTTAGCCCTTGGCGCAGGTTTAGCCTCCGGCGCAGGTTTAGCCTCCGGCGCAGGTTTAGCCTCTGGTGCAGGTTTAGCTCTGAGCATGGGAGCCCCTCCAACCAACCCGAAGGGATTTTCTGGAGGAACCCCAAAGTTCACCGCTCTGAGCCTCTCCTCCTCCCGTCACCGTTCAGCATGGCAACGCGGGACGGGGGAACCGCGGGCGAAACGCTCCGGTTGCTCCCTCCCCCTGCCGAGGCGGTCTGTGCCTGAGCTCGGGAGCGGGGACGGCAGCGCTGGGCTCCAGCTGCTTCTGGGGCCGCTGAACCCCGTGCGTCCATCCTTGCTCCTGTTCCTATAGGCTTCTTCCTTAGGCAGTGATTTAGTACAACCCGTTTTACTCAACACCGCGTACTGCCAGGGATATTTGGGGGTCTACGGCTTTG